AATTGGAAAATCCCATTTGTCCGGGTTTGTCCATGGAAAAATCCCAAATCCCAAACGTTTGTGCGGCATGTATACTTGAAGAACAGTTAACCCAGTTATCGACGATCACATGATAAACATATAATGACGTTATTTGTTTACCAGAATTAAAACAAAATGGCCTAAATATACCCTTACCCTAACCTAACCCTAATCTAGGCCGAACACTTGTCATGTGATGTTTTGATGATCGCTGGGTTAACTCTTCTTCAATCTACCCTTTATAAATTATTGTTTGAAATACATGCAATATATATATATATCGGTATTAAAATGAATATACATATCTTTACCTATTCGTCAACATATTATGCAATGATTTATAATTAGTTTTTGCTCCCTTAATAAATGAGTCGATTTATTAATATATAGAATTAACAATAACACTGATACCTATCTTCTGAAAAAAAAAACAACTATACTTGAAAAACCTTGATTAAATGAGTTGGAATTGACTTTGGGTGCTTTCTAAAGCATATGTAATACATCTGATTTAATTGTTGTTTTAGAAAATCATCAGCTTGACTAAGTGATGAATATCAAAACTAGGTTGTTCGAAATAGTGAGGATATAAGTAGGTACATGAATACACTATAATAATTTTATATTTTTGCATCACTGAAGAAAAACTCTGAATATTGATTATTTTTTGATCACATCAAACGCGCATTCAGTAAGAGCCGACCATTTATACAAAACCCAAGATGAGTAATGCCGAATTACTTCGGAAAGGTGATCACAGTTTCTATATTTATATTTAGCAATGAAAGTAATTCAGAATTTACAAACAATTAGTGTGTAAAGCTGTCCTGCATATTAAGGATCAGTCAAGTAAGGAGTCTTTTCCTCTTCTCGATGAAATTATTCGTCTTAATCAAACTTGTGTCTATTTGAATACAGAATTGGAGAAGCATAAAAGGTAAAAATACTATTGTGCTATGTACATCTAATCGTGGAAGCAAAGGTCGACTTAAAATGATTCCATTTCATCCAATCCAATTAAAATAAAATTACTCGATATCCGTCCTTTCAATAAAGAATAGTATTAATATGCAATATAATTGTAAATCTCTAACTTAATGTGGGTACGTTTTTTAATAAAAAATCATAACTAAAATGCGGATACTGTTTTGATCAATTTAAAGTTGGGATTTTGTGTGTAGAAAAAACATGAAATTTACTTATTTGATTTCATAATTTGGAATGCTTTGTCATTAACGTATGTATAGATTGACTAAGCTAAAAAATCGAAACAACTGAACTAACTGATTTATAATCGCCTTCATCTAAATAAAGGTAATATCTGCTTAGAGTTATATATAAAGCTGCATCCATTTAAATAATTAACTAATGTACACAAAAATATTTAATTTAGGTACTAACTTTAGTTAGTACAACTTCTAATGCTCAAAATCACGACTTCATTGACCTAGCTACTTAATTCCAATCCACCAATATTTATATTATGCACAATTTTACGCTTCTAACATTCTGAATTGAATGATTTGACATTTCTACGCTTAATATGAAATAACAGATACAGTCAGGGGCCTATATGAAAAAATCAAAAAGCATGCATTTAGAGAGGTAAAAATCTATATGCATCATATAAGCTTGGGCAAAGTAAGGTCATGCATTTAGAGAAGTTCTTCGTATACTATGTTTTTAGGAAGGTTCCATTTAGTGAAGTCAGCAGTATAATATAGAAAATACTGTATTAAGCAATCATTTTTATAAGATTTAACTGAATCCTGTATTTATCCTGTATATTCTAAGATACAATCGTTTAAAAATGTTTACAAAGCATCTTGATTATTAAGATTAGCACACCATGACGGATTCACTCCATTTTTCCGACAGCCACTAAATCTAAAATTAACCGACATCACACGGCCAACAATATGCTATTATATATCTCTGCAACCAATAAAATGCTAACCTGTAATGTCGGTTAAATGGGATGTAGGTAAAAGAGTGTCGAGAAAATAAGATCCACGCATAAATATCCTATAGAATATATTTATTTTATAAATTAATGTTCCAAATAAACATTTCACTAGTATTTAACTAAATGCTTTATGCAAAACATGAATTTTAGCTAGTAATTGTACTTTGTAAATAGTAAGAACTAAACAAAAATAATAAAATAATGATTCAAAAAAGTTGAGACTGCCTGAACAAACTGCTTTTTATATAAACATCTGAATCTTCTTTACGATCAGCCCATAATTCATTATTAGACCTGTGTCTAATAAAGTGACCCGGCATGTTGACACTCTCGAAGGTAAAGAAAGCACCTAGAAAATTTATATTTGTTAAGTTATTTGAATTTAATAAAATAATATCAAAAATAATGTAATACCTTGTTTATTGATGATGTAACTAGCATCTTTTTGAAATAAAGGAGTATTATCGTATTTATGAAGTTTGATCTGATAAAATTGATGCCTAAGAAAATGGCCGGGATAGTTTACGCTTTCAAAGCTGACACCTCGACCGTCCAAACCAGCAATTAATTTAAATATAAAATCAGCAACCAGAGGAGAATCATCTAATTTGAGAGTATATCCAAGGGAATTACGGTGTGCAATATAATATCCACGATTATCACAACTTTCAAAAGCTACAACCTTAAACTAATAAATGAAAAAATGTATTAAATTATTACCCTTTAGCATTATTTTGCAGTTACATTTGCTAAGCCCATTATTAATAGAAAACCAAATATATAAAAATATCATGCGGTTTTTTTTTTTACCGGTCAAGCGGATTATTACTTACTAAATATCTATTAACATCAGATGCACGAGATAGAGCATCGGCAGCAAGGCGAAGGTTTTCACTTGCATTTTTAATATGATTGCTAAGTTCTTCAAGAGTAGAGTTAAGTTCAGGTTGGATTTCACTCATTATATGATATGTTGGTTTACGGAATTTATGAGCAATTTTTTCTTTACTATTTATAATATTCTTGTATTTATCGTGTAACAACTGGTGTAAATAATAGAGTTGAAGAGTTCATAATGCTACAATATTTACAAATGTCACAATATAATCTAGCAACTTTTTATAAACAAACTAACACGTTATATGATGAGATCATATGAAAATTCTATCGACAATTTAGTAAAAATACTGAATCTAAAATGAATACGAACTCAACTCAATGCTTTATTAGAGACTCAGGTCTGTTTAAAAAAGTTTTACGGAGTACAAAGTGTACAAAGTACGGATAGCGTTTGTTTACTGTTCCGTGTGCAATTCTTGGGATTTTGCACTTGATTGGATAACTCAACCTTGTGGCTTTATCTTGTAATTTTTGTGTTTGTATACGTACCATATAAGGTTTATTTTCAAGTAAACGTAAACTATTATTAATAAAAAAAGAAGGATACTATGAGATTTTGGTTACAATAAAAATCAACTATTTCAATTGGATATTGCGTATTATAAAAAACATTAAGATTAAATGTCGCATCTGAAATAGTGATTTAACTAAAGTAGCTACTTTAGATAGTGTAATAAAGTTGCTTGCCCAAACCTATTTTACAATTTGTCAAAAAGTAAATTTATTATGATTTTAATATAATTTCGCTAATTTATATATATTTACTATAATTTTAGTTTTACCTTTATTTACTTATATGTATTTAATAGAGTTTTACCTTTTGCTATTTAGACGACTGTCTAAACCTAGAAGTTTCACACTGTAACCTCAGATAGTGTTTGAAAAAGTCAGCACGGATCGGATTCGGATTTGTGCGAATCCAAACCGTCGGATTAGGGACGTCGGATTGGGCCCGGATTGAGCGTAATTTTGCATTGATATTGGGCCAATCAGGATGCAAGATCAGGTGTAACGTGAAGATCAAAACAACAATCGATTTTTTTTGAAAAGTCACACTTATCGCCTAAGAAATCACCTTTTATGCACAACAAAAAAAATTCCTTGCAAAATTTTAGTATAATGTTGCCTACTAACTCTAACCTCAACCTTAACTGAGGTGTCAC